TATTTCGAAAACATGTGCTTTTGTGAAACGATGTACATACAATGCTAAAAGAAGACATCGTATACCCGGAAATAATGACACCAATACGAATTCCTAACCGAACAAGGATAAAAGATTAACTGACGAAGCACTACTGCTGAGGATTCGCAAAGAACTATTTTTGATTTTTTTATAATTCGATAGAGATGTACAGATATCTTTCTACTTGCTCTTAAATACAGGATGGAATGACTATTTTGCTAAGGTGGGTTATTGATAGGTAACTTGCAGTCTACAACAGCATTGCCAATAATCCTTTTGTCATTAGCTGGGGTAATACTATGCACCTATTTACACTTCTTGCTCCGATCAATTAGATCGATCCAAGCGCCATCACAATTCTACCGCAATAACTCGGTAATGCTGCACTGCTGTCTTGATCTTACACCTCTGTATTCTCTCCAACCAGCCCAAAACACGGTATGTACCGATCGGTGAACTTGCCCCGTGGCGCGCCGTAGTTGACTCCAACTCAACTATCCGCGCCCATCCAGCGTTTTCACGATGGACGAGATTGGCAAGTACACCTGTACCCAGGTGCACTTGCCTACGGCGATCACTCCGGTCGTTCACACCCATGTGATCGGATGAGAGACATTTTGAGATAGACCAACATCTACTATTGGACAGTTGGCAATTTAGTGCGCTTTCCTCTTACCCGAAGGCGTGACCCTTGGCTCCCGATTAACAGAGTAACATGAGACAACACTTCTGGGACTAAGATATATATATATATATATATATATATATATATATATATATATATATATAGTTTGTTCAATATCTCTACTCTGCTGCATTCGCTCTGTCAATTTTGTGTGTTTGTTTTCTTATATATTCTATGTTGGTTTTTTATATCCCCAGTATGGCTGCGCTTGATGTGAATGTTGAAAAAGTGCCTGCCTATCTAACACACTGCATATCAATTACTGGCTCCAGGAGACTGTGAATCGTTGCTACGGGGGACGGAGTGCACGGTCCTCGTGGCCGTGCTATGCTGAAATTGTGGTTCTATCTAGTGTGGAGCGGACTACGGCCCAGCCACTGCCTGTGTACGTCTGGTACGCATGGTTCCCTGCATAGATGGCCAGGAATGCTGTTACAGTGTATGTTGAAGGAGCTTGGGTCGGCTCTCACTTGTATATCTCCCGGTCTTATTCTTGCGGTTACACTCTGCAAATGAGGTGTGTGGATGGAGCTGTGGGTAGTGCAGCGCAAGCCATCCATGGCCCCTCTGTTGGCGTAGGTGCTGTGTCGCTCTGTCCATGGAGGCAGCAGTAACAAACAATCCGGACACGGATGCCGCCAACCATATACATGTAAGAAACATCCCGTAATCGGTTGACGCATTTGCTTGAAAGCTGGCCACAGACACCTATCAACATCACGGAGGCATTGTTGTAAGTCCTTTACGTCGGTGGTTATCATACAGCGTCCGTTGACTCTTCTGAGGAGGGGACCACTTTCGATAATCGATGGTCAGAACGTGAATTTTCTGCGAACCGCATCGTTTTGGTACACAATGGAAAGCTATCGTTCTGAAACATGATGAGGTTACCAATACCAATTGCATGGTTACGCTATAAAAGCGTAAACTCACACCACAGCAAATACGTAACAGAATCTTGCAATCAACTTTGTATGGGGATTCGGTTGGGTTATATCAGGAAGGCATGTTACTTCAAATGATTGAAGAAACGTTATATTTAATGAACGTTGGGGTGAATTGACCTTCAACAACAGCAAATTTTGGTTCATTTAGTTAAGCCGTTTTCAGTATCGTGTCACGGAGATTCCAATTACCGCTAGCCTACTTCAGCACACGGGCTAATGAAAATTGTGCACCCGATATTGATGCGATGATTGACCTTAGACGAGATATGCAACATAGAGAATACTGGTAACGGATAAAAAGATTCCAGGGTTCCACGATGTAGCGCATGTCAACGCACTGTGTCAGCGTCATGCATCGAATATTACCGTAGCAAACGCCATGTGTGAGGGTCAGCTCGCCTTTGCAAAAAGAACATGGAGATATTCTCCTTCAGCGGAAACTTCTGGGCATTGCAGTTCTGGCTGTCAGTCTTGTCAGAAGTGGAATGGGTGACACAATTGAGAAAGCATGAGAGTACGACGGTTGACTAGAGGTCACATGCAGTGTTTTTCAGATTGAGTATGCATCAGGCTCCAGCAAATTGTATGAGCAGGCGTAAAAATAAAAGCAGTCCGTAATTTGAGGGAATCGGTTAGTAAGAGTTATCCTCCATTCGATAACCCACGAATGAGCGATGGTAGCCAGAGTGCATCCAGCGAATATCATGGGCGGGTGGTAAAAGGTCCATGTCCATCAGCTCAGCTCAGCCACGGTGGCTGTTACCCATTGCGACAACAGATAGTAATATCACAATAAAGATGCCACATTATACTGGTCAGATCGACTTACGGAAACATTAGAAGAAAGGGGACCTGAGTCGAAATCGGCATCCATTGTGGCATTATTCGAATCACAGGAATTACCAAAGTACCGTAAGACATCAGTTAGGGTTAAGTAGTAGTACAACGTCCACTCTGTTGATACCAAGAAATTGTATCAGTCTGAGTTGTAAAAGTACCCATATTCCCCTGCAAGTGTTTTTCAAGAGAGGAAGTACGCTGGTTGCGTTTAACTTTTGGTAACCACTGTAGAGGTACGTAATTAACAACTATGTTCTGTTGCACTATGTGGGTAATGAAAAGCCTGACAGTACTGAGGGGGAGCTAAGATTGACATAGCGTTGCTCTTAAGCCAGTCCTAAATAGACAGTGAGCCTTTCTGTCGGGAGACTTCTTGGGGTTAACCGGACAATAAGTCACAATAATAGTCACACCCTTTTCTTGCATAGCACAAACTGGATTGGCAACACAGTAAATTAAGCAATGCATTTTTGTGACCATCACACACACGCGTAGTTCGAGATGAAGAGGCACGACACACTTCGGTTCCGAGAAGAGCACGTAGAAGACACGCTCTCAGGGGTATTCACTTCCAGTAATTAGAATGATCGAGGTGCAATTTTTGTAACCTAACACGCCAAGAGTGCTCTAATGCATCATAATGATAAAGTTTACGTGAATTCTCCTCATATTCAACCACATCGGGGTATTTGCGAATCACAGGGAAGATCGCTTAAGACCGAGGGATGAAACCAGGTTTTAACAAGTTCAATCAGCGCATGCTTACCAAAGGAGTTTCATTACTCTGACGCTTTCACTCATTTGTCGCCTAAAATAAAACGGAAACTGGTTCCGCCCTTACTCATGCAGAGCTTTTACAACCTATAAATCAAGTAGAGAGAGTATGCACATCAGAAAAATTGGTATAACAATGTCCCTTAGTAAAATAAACCACATCTTCGTGTGAGTATTCAGTGAAGTATTGCGACTCACATCGAGATGATGCGTCTCTGGCGAAGCCGCGAATCGTTGACGGGATTTCTTCCTTTGAACAACTGCCGGAGAGGCAAGTTTCGCCACGTGACCAGATTAACCAGACAACGCAGAGGCTTTCGATGCTACATTAGTTTAGAGCGTCGGTGACAACCACATGATTCCGCGATAGTTCATGTGTGAAAATCGTCTACATGCGCACTCCTCTGCCAAAGCCAGTATGACAAACCGGGAACGATTCGTCTCGCTTTCAACCCCGTCCACATCTGGCTAAGGTGAATGTAAATATAGACATGCAGTCTGAAAGCTTGAATGCAATAACCTTCCTAATTGACCCAGTTATATGGCATGAATAGTTAACCAGTGGAATGCTATCAATTCTAGACATGGAAAGTGGTAGTTGACTGTGCGACTTAGAATATATCACTGCGTGTTCAGCCCAATTGCGGAACGCCTCAGGTAGATTTGTGCTATTGCCCAAACATGTAAGTGTACCTGTCAGTTGCTTTAGATGCTGGAGAGCGGAATTACAGTATAGGAGCGAACAAAATGGTACTGTTAGCTTGCGATATCGTAACCAGCTTATCCCCATTTGGACATGGTAACCACTAGAATCATCGTCCGGAAGGTCGTAGGTGTCACCAGGACTGCCGAACCCGATCAGCTTATTGGACAATCCACTGAAACAGATCGGTAGATCATGCGGATGCAGTAGGTGAGAAGGGTCCAGTGAAAATCGTCTTTTTCTGCTAAAGCAACAGAGAAGCATACTTGAACAATATGCCTTTCGCGGAAAGGGAAGATGATGCAGCAATTAACGCGGCACCATAAGCTTACACTGTGTTGTTGATACATACGTGGTCGATAACAAAGCTTCGACTGAATGTCTCTCATTACCGACGTTAATGAATAGTAGTAATGTACTGTGTAAGCGTGAATGAACAACTCACGCATGTGACTACCAATAACTTGTTATACGGAATGTGCCTGCTTGAGGACGATTCAAAAAGTTTTAGGTGGTAAAATTCTTCTCATGAGACAAGTGATGATAAGTCTCAAACACCCTGCATTACTCATGCAACTCATGCTGTTTGACTATGCGCACACAGAAGAATAGATAGACAGAAACAAACGAAGAAGATTGTCTTTCCGGGCGGACAGTTTGGTGCTATAGGCGACACTGTAGCGAGATGAATGGGGCTCGCGTAACGTTAAGTTTAGAAGAATTGATATACAAAAATTGCGGCTGTCACAGTAGATGTGCAAACTTGCTTTCTATAGATCGAAAGGCAGCTTCAGAGTTTCCGTATAGCGAAGGAAAAGATCATACAGGGAGTCTAAAGACCGAAGTGGTCGGCTTTATCTGAATAGGCATATATGCTGTAAAAATACTCGATAGTGAGGACATCATTATGGGCACGGGAATAGCCTGCCCCAGAAAAAAGGAATCACAAAGCTCCCACAGACTGAATAGATAATGCAGACCGGAATTTGTCAATTCGAATCGTACAGTGCATCTATGTCATTTACTTCAGCATCTGGAAATGATGAAACAAACGACCGAGCAGTCAAATTGGTCCAGGAGGCTTCGAGTCGTGTCACAGAAGAGTACAGCAACGCGATGGCAAAATCAAAGGAACAAGACAGGAAGATTATGGATTACATTGACCAACTTTTAGTGAGTCCCAAAAGCCTACTTTCTAAATTTACTACGAACTTGTCACATAAAATAGTACTTTTTTTACCTTCAAGGATGAAATAGGACATCATTGGTGCCTTACTGTGGCGAATAAATACACATAGTGCATTTCGCAGAACGCAGTTGATTTTAGCTTTAACCCAAAGCATCTCTGAAGTAATCCTGTCAAGCCACTGGTTTAATCTTTTACCTTTAAGTTAGGGCTAAAAATTCGGTCACGACCGCATCATTCACTTAACCTAACAGAATACATACAACAGCCATGCACATTAATGGTCATGAGGGTAGTTGATGATTGCGACACATCCGTTGATCCACTTCTCATGATAGCAGCAAATTAGGGTGCGGTATAGATAAACGCTGACGAGAAGAAGAAGAAGAAAGGAATTGGGTGTTGAACGCCCGAAAACACTGCACATCACAAAGCGTTTGGATATTAGTTTATCTCATCAGGTGGAGGTAGCAGATCCCGACCCCGGACAATTGGAATTTTAGCCGAAATTTCTACCCTTCTGGTTACCGGGTGACGGCTGGCAACGCTTGGTACAATAGAAACGCTGAGGAGTTTACCGGTCTGAGTGTCGCCAATAATTTCCTTGACCCGTTTCGGTAGTTCTTGAACATATTTTCCACTGGGCCCGCTGAGAACATCCCACGAATGAATCAGGTATCCACACAACTCGGTGAGCAAGACGCTAAATCCACAGCGTGAGCCTACTACTAAGGTAATGTGGTGTCGATCGGGGATATGCAGAGGCAATCCACGCCAGAGTAAACCAGTGTTCAACACAAGTTGCCAATCCACAGGGAACGGGATTGTGTTGATAGTCACATCTGATTAGTCCTAGTAGTACTGTTTCGCATGTTCAACCAACCAACGACACAATATTTAATAGTCGGGGCGGCACCTTCAAATTGGCTGTTGTTTTAAGACTTCCTTTTTGTACACTAGTTACCGCGGACCTTCAATTTTGTATATATCGTTTTGCAAGTTCGGTTATCTGAATCAATAGTGGTGACCTCAATATCCTATTCTGCCAATATTTTAAAGACATTTCGCGACACCGCTTTTTGCTCGCAATTTGTTGAATATTCCCATAAAGTCAGGAACACCTTTAAAAGAATTATGAAAAAGCAGTCGGGAAGAATGAGAAAGCACCGAGCTGGTTGGCAAGTCAGTCTAAGACGTCGTTCAATAAACCGGACGCAATTAAAAATGACTCTTTCCAGCAATGTTGGATCATTTTTAGGAAAAATCGTGGATCTTTTCACAATCTTGCTTAGAAGTGAATATTCAACGGTTGACGTTTTCATGCTACCGGAAAGTTGGTTGAATTCTGATATAGAAGACGAAATTATTCAACTTACTATCGTTCCAACAGGTCCGATCGACTAGGATTACAGAATCGTGGAGGCGGTGTAATTACTTATATCAACCAACGCTAATGCAATTCGGTAGCCTTACTGTTCACGTACACAACAACCACTGTTAGCTGTCATTTGATTGAATGCAAGTCATGGTTCCTGTGCGGTTTTAGTACTGTTGTCGTCGGAAACGTATACATATCGCCTGACACACCAGCGTCCCAATTGAACAAATTTGCTGATGAGTTATCCACGTGTTACTACCGAAACTCGAAAGCTCAGTTTGTGTGATTGCTGGAGATTTCAATAAATGTGATACTAATTTTATGCAGGTACTTGACCTAACGAACATAGTGACCTTTCCAACTAGATCCTGTCTTCACAAACCAAGCTGGACTGTTTTGCACGCAAAAATGGGCTTCACTCGGCAACTCTGACCATTGCATCATAAAGATATGCCCTATTGGTTACAGTAAGTCAAACTCCGTTTCTTTGGCTCATATACCATTCAAATCTACCGGACGACGAGATTGTTCCATGTCCAACATCTCGAGACTTCAAACGCTGTCCTCCACTGATGTTACTGTTTTTAACTACGGCAATTTGTCCATTCAGTATGCACATCTCAGCGACTATCTCAATTTCTGCTTCGACCTTTGCTGCCCAATTGAGACCATTTATTTATGGGCAGACCGGTTCTCCTCCCCATTACTCAAGCAACTTAAGGGGGGGGGGGGAAGAAAGCACGTGCATCTAAAAGTAAACTGCCAGATCGTGTCAAATTACCTTCTTCAGCCATAAAAGCTGAGAGTATACGACTAAATGGCCTGTACACTGATGCCATTTTATCCAACAACAACTGCCGTGACTTGTGACAGCTTTTGGAATAACTGCGTGCGAAAGGCTCTAGTAAACATCTAGTGGCTGTAGATGTCGATAAACTCAACTCTGGATTCCGATCTGCCCAACAAAATGCCTGTTCTCTGCCTTCATTTCGCCAACTGTCACTCACCGCAACTGGTCCAAGATTTGCATTCCAACACCTTTAAGTCTACCAGGAACTCAAGTGGCTAAATGTGAGGAAGCCCGGAGAACATGATGCTCTATCACCAATTGTTTTAAAGGAGCAGGCCGACTCCCTCACCTTACCTTTAACACATCTGTTTAATTGTTGCTTACACAGTGGCACTATTCTCGACATTTGGAGACCCGTCAGGATAACGCCAGTCCCAAAAAAGAAGCTCAGAAATTCCGTTCCATTGCTTGTACATCTGTCATGCTGAAAGTCTTAGAACGACTGCTTATTCCTTTGATTTCTACAAGCACCCCAGCTAGTGATGCCTCTCAGTTTGCTTATAAACCCAAACGCTCCACTTTGGATGCAGTGGCCTATCTCGTTCACTTAACAGCATCTGCGTTAGATGCTAAATGTAAGGCAGTACGTCTGCTTTTGTTGGATTATGCAAACGTCTTTGACAGTGTCGACAGATTACAGCTTCTTAACATATTATTCACAAACGGCGTCCAACCTGTGGTGTTCAACCTGATTGGAAATTATTTTACGAATCGCTCGCAAATCCCCCAACTGAATGGCAAGAAGTTCTCCACTATTGGTAACGACTGGGGACTTTATGAGGGGAAATCCTCTACCCTTTTGTTTTCTTTGTACATCGAGAGACTTCCTATTCCATCAGGTTTTCATGGATGTACATATGCCGACGACGTTGTTTTAGGCAGGGTCTTTCCTACCAACAAGTCATTCTCGGCGCTTCCAAAAGGATTGAATGAGCTTGAACAGTAGGGTCACCTTCCTATTTCCTTATCCACAACGCTTCAAAGTGCTGAGACTTAATCTGTTTTCTTCTCCAAGCTGACAAGCGTCAAACTTTGCGCAGTGCTTCGAGCCCCATTGTTGTTAACGAATGCATAATACCTAGTTCCCTCACTGCCAGGTATCTTGGTATTTTTACCCAAAAAGTTAATGTGTTCGACACACGTCGACGAAACTTTCGCAAGGTAAGGAGACTGACATTTTATGCCCTGCGGCTCAAGATCCTTTTGGTACCACGCCATTATTCATCAAATTCGTAGTCACCTGTATTCTCCCTCATTGGTTGTACTGCTCGCCTGTTATTTTCCCTGGTCTTTTTCAAAAAGACGTTACAATTATTGTCCGTTCGATTAAGCTCATCTCTAAAGGCAGTGGAATACTCTGAGTGTCTCTTGTAGACTTCACTGTGACCAAGAATTTTGATGCATGTCACAGATTTTCTTAACAGATTTTAAACGATCCGCCTCCTCCACTCCATGATGACTTATCGAAAGGTCCTTCCTTCTCATCTACACACTCAAAATTTAAAGTTCTGTATTCTCGTACCGCTTCTTATCATAACTCTGTTTTGCCTTATTTATCACGTCTTCTAGTGAACTCTACGAAGATCACTGATGACACGCGTGAACGTTTGCCTGAGTAAATGCGTGTATATTTTGTTTTCTCACCATTTGCCTGTTCATTTAAGTAGAGACTTTGTACCCAACTTTTTATTCGCAGTTCTAGTGTAAAATATTACTGCGATGTGCTCAGTCGGGTACATTTAGCTTATTCTGGCTTGACTTGACTTAACTACTCAAATATGACGGTACAATGTCCAGTGACAAAAATGATTTGTCTAAATCGCAGTTCGATTGTTAAAGTGACCGAACTTCAAGCAGTGTGGGCGACAAATGAACGGTGTCAAAACCAAAAAGAGAGCCCACCGTAACCACTCGAAACATGCCCGATACAATGATGGTCACATCGTTTTGAAAACGCGTCCAAACTGTTATCGCTGTCGGTGTGGTTGAATTCAACGAGACGAATTATGCACATATAGATGATCCAACTCAGTCTGCATGTAACGCACGGCATTAGGTATGGGTTTTAGCACCGCCTGATCACCCAGACCCGCACTGCTATTGGTTCCGCGGACGAGATTCACCACCATTCGAGTAAAGGGGCTAACGAATGTAAACACAAACCGGCGTGTGCCATCGTGTGCACTTGGAGTGAACTGTTTACACGATAAAAAGGTGGTTTACATGTCGCCTCTCGGAGTCATCTTAACTAGGCAAAATGTCTATACAGAGAGATGAGAGGCAGCAGCACACGAGAGAGTGCTTCGTAATCGCTTGTATAAAATGGAGGAAGAGAAGAATGTCCAGTTTCTGTGCGATATTGCAATATAACTCTAGGAGGCAGTAGGTTCAGGCGCATTTTCGTTAAAAAATAGTGACCAGAAAACAAATATCACGTTGCTTTGAAGAAACACAGGAAACAGTCAAAATTGATGCCTGTCCAACAATAATACCGTCATTGTTGACGGAAGCGCAGCAGAGCTGATATTGCGGTTTTATGACGACGTTAAACAAGGACAAACTGCCGCTGTTCTCGGGTGTCTACTGCGGATATCCCATTTAGGTTACTCATAAAAAGTTTGCGGTCGGGATGTAACGTAAACTGCTAGAGGGAAGTACAAGGAGCATCAGTAGAGTCGCGTAAATCCATGGGACTAATGGAATCATCTTCATCTACGACATTGCCCTCATCTGTGACAGCTCCCAGACGTGCCAAACCGCGCTGGACAGATTAGCACTGGCTGTCAGCCGCTTCGGGCTTTGCTTTGCACCATCGAAGTGCAAAGCGTTAATCCAAGATTGGCAGGGATCGCCTCCTGCGCTGACCCTTGGTAGGGATCAGCTAGAAGTCGTTCAGAAATTCAATTACCTGGGAAGTTGTATCAGCGCCCTTGGGATCCAAGACGAGATCACGAACCGGATAGCGATAGCTCGAAGTGCTTTTGCTAACCTTCGCCACCTATGGCGGCGGCGCGACATCACTCTCGCCCTGAAGGGTAGAGTGTACAATGCAGCGATACGTTCGACCTTACTGTACGGTTGCGAAACCTGGACCCTAAGGTCGGCGGACATGAAGAGGCTAGTTACGTTCGACCATCGGTGCCTTCGCAGTTTGGCTCACATATGGTGGGAACACCGCGTGAGCAACGAGCGTGTTCGACGCCTTGTTTACGGCCTAGGAAAAGGGAATGAACCGCTCAGCACCGTTATTTCACGCACCAGGCTCAGATGGCTCGGCCACGTTTTACGCATGCCAGCCCACCGACTCCGTCGACGTGCGTTGTTTGCTCATCGGGGATGTGGGTGGAAGAAGAGGAGAGGTGGCCAAGCGATGACTTGGTCCAAGGGAATGAAGTCCCTCACTTCGGAGCTAGCCTCGGTTGGAGCGTCAGGGCTCCCTGGTTGGGGTCCAAAAGACGATGAACACGTTTGACTGGATACACTTGCTGACATGGCAAGGAGCCGACCTCAGTGGCGTTTGTGCTGTGAGTTTCTTTGTCCCTCCCCATCCCTTTTAGCCTCCCCCTCCATCTACGATCTCATTTCATAGGGTAAAACATAATAATTTTTTCTCCTTTTTGCCTAGTAGCTGGCTGGAATCTTACCGGAACGATGCCTATCCGTTGCTGGTAGCTCAGCTGGCATGCAACTGTTGTATCTATTTTTCATTTGTGTATACTATTATATGTATGTATGTATTTCCTTCATGTATTGCGGCACAATAGCGGAGGTGTTTTCCCACCTCTAGCTGATGTGTATAATGAATGAATGAATGAATGAGAATCAATACATGCGGTTATAGAATAAGCTGGCGTGGGAGAATAGTTGTGGCTACAGCTCGGTGAATGGTAAGATCTTTAATGCTATATTGATGGGTCTAACATGATCGGATGATTCAATTTACAGAGCGAAACGTCTACATAAGCAGTTAGATGATTGCTGGTAGCTGCGCCACGAATTGCGTCTGAAGCTGTTACGATTATTTATGTCAATGTCACATTCGATTCTGATTGTCGGAGTGAACTTATCAGAAGAATATGATACATGAGAATGGGGACGACGCCGAGTGAGGATCCGAAGTGGTTTCCGGGACCCGTAGTGTGCAAGGGGATAGTGAAAAGTATACACTTTATTCCTCACCTCCAAGTGGTGGGCTAAACGGATGCACACCGTGCAACAGTGTACATACATATTATTGGCGACAAGAGGCACTTGACTGAATCGATGAAGGGGCCAGAAGCTAAGGGATACCAGCACCTCAACATTCAAACCGGTAGTGGTGTTGCAGTTGGTCCCATCCACTTCCAAAAGTTCCCTAGAGGACTGCTTCTGTGTGAGGGTGGTCCACGTTGCATCATCCGTGCAAACTATATTCGTTGTAAAACAGACGGTATCAAGTCAAGTGGGAGAGGTGTTGAATGTGGGCATACAAATCACAGCATCCGGAGGAGGAAGAGCACACACCGCACACACTGAGGGCGATGCTTGAGCTGCAGCCTATTTCCTGATGGAAGCATTCGTTGGGCGTGTAACTATCATTAAACACGTGTCGCAGGTTATCTCCAGCATAAATTTGCGGGTTTCCGACACCGATAACGGTGGTTGTTGTAATCAAGTTAGACACAGCAAGCCGTGTACAGACAATACATCGGGGATAGACGCCCAGTGTGCATGCCAGTTATTCGAGTATGGTCTGTCGAGACGACAGGTCTAAACATTTACCTGATTGCCTCCAGCTTGATACCGGCTCAGCGACAGCTGCATAAGCAACCAACGCATATGCTGGAATACACGGTAAATGTATCCATTTTGAATGTGCGATGCAGCACGGCGTGTATTCTGCCGAACTGGAATTATTGCAGGCATGTTGTGTGGGTATTTCAAGCCGATTGACATGTCAAGGAAGGACATCTCTCGCTGCAGCAGCATTTCAAAAAGAACTTTAGCTCAAACAATTGTAACTGTCCATGTTAATTCCTGCACAAAACGCTTCTAAAACACTCACCGATATCAGTCAGCCTCTATCTAATAAACTAACTGTATATCTGCGTCGTTGACCAGACGAAGGCACAAAGCAATATAAGCTTGCAAGCATTCCACGCTTCGTCGGTCATTTCATATCTGGTTCGATTTCTGCTTGGACCCAAGGTTATTAACCAAAAATGAACTAGCCACTTTTACCACTGAGGTTGTGTTTCACAGTAAACTGTGTTCTTGCTGCTGTTTTACTGCTATTAGATGTGCTATATTCCTTTGTTAGCATTTTGATGGCGTGTGATACAACCGAAGATTCACCTTTTCTAAGCGCATAACGCTCATTCTTGACTTCACCAGAGTGCAGATAAGCTGGGAAAGGGAGTCTGTCGAACAGAGGGAATTGATCCGCTTCGTTGTGCACTCCAAAAGGCCTGTGAACACTTGTCACGTCAGACTAGTATGCGGCCAGAATATTTCTGCCACTGGAGGTAAAGTGAGGCAATACCGCTCCGGAGGTCAATGCAGTTAAATCAACCGTATGTTCCCCTTCCATCCACATAATGTAAGAAAACCCAAGTAAGCTGATGCACACACCAATGGTGTGCCAAAATATCAAGTAATGGCATCGCTGCAGAAGACGCACAAGTGCTTATGGTGCTCACATGGAGGCGGCGTCCAGATAGGGAGGACAAACAAACTGGTGCACAACCAATCCGTCATCGGACAGCTCTCAAAAATGCAGCACTGTTGGTTTTACGAGTCTTATCCTGTCAACCGTGTTCCATCCGTAACTCAGTATACAATCATACCTTACAATTGGCACACCAGGAACTCCGCACAGAATTAAAATTTGCTACCTAAATTAGTACGGAGTCATATCTGACATTCTTCTTCTTCTGCAGGATAAAGCCACACTATCGTATGGGACAAGTCGACGAAGAGGAACAGTGCCGTCATTGGTGCCCCTGCAGAGGAACGGATTTCGTCGGACGGTACATTATGCCCCAGTTGAACTGAACGGACAGGAAACAAATGGATTACGCGTAAGTCGATCCATGAGAATAACGTACAAATGGCATATGCCGCAGGGACACAGCACCTATTAGCCAGATTGATTAGCTTGCAAAGGTGCTCTGCAGGAGGATGAAAGTGTAGTTGATACGAATACTAAGGCAAAATTTGGCTCAGAGTTTGTCTGTTAATAAACTACCCCACGCGTCCCTCAGTGCAAAGACTGGACTGGTAAGTGCATCTATGGGGCCGCAGCGCGTTTGAAGCTTAACGAAATAGATAACCAGCTAGTGCCATGAAGGTCAACAATTAACGTAGTGAGCATGGTTCCTCCAAAGACTAGATACCTGTTACACCTGTTAGATTAAAATGTGTTGAACGGCCTGGACAAACGCCGCAGTGCCTGCCAGGTCATATTCGGAAGTACCTGTCCGCCAGATGAGTCAACTGTTGCATACAGGTCCGCGATATTGGTGACGCCCAACAGACACAAGCACATGGCGTGCGAGCACACCGTGAAGCTGAAGTAGGAAGGAGACACGCAGTCGAGAGGTGGGATTCTGAAATGTGGCAAACGTGTTCCGCAGCGTAGTAAGCGAACATGAGCAGCATGTAGCTACGCGTAGCTAAATAAACCTTATTCTCGACGATGTGAGGCACGCGTGTATTGGATTCACCGGGGAAGTGCATACTGGCATAGAACGTTGATCACAGATGGATCAGAAAAATTAATAAGCAGATCACATAATAACGTTTGGAAGTACGGAAATGAAAATATTTGGTTAACTGAAATGAATTAACCCTGGATGACCTTCAGCCACTGTCACATGTGGTAGTATAGAAAAGTAACTTACATAAGAAGATCTGATGGTGACGGACCAATTCATGGACCATTTGAAACCTGAACACTGCAAGTACGCCTAACTTGTTGTTAGGACACAACCGAATAGCTTGATCATGTTATGTGCAGTCTGGAGGTTGTTAATGTGCTGCGAAATTCATGCTCACGAGTGCAGGTACAGACTCCGGCTGATAGCTTGTTCCAGATTCTGAAGTAACTGGTAAGGGAAACGGTCGCAGATCTGCTCGTCCTGGACTTGCATCTAGCCACTGATTTCTGCTTATATTGTGTGTTGTAAACGGTAGATGACATTAATGTCCTGCTGAAGTCGGAAATGTGTTTGTTTTTGTAAACGATGTTGAAAAAGTTGACTTGGTTGTGATTCATGTGCCTTAACCAGAGTAGATCAAGCTTGAGCTCCTCGAATCCTTCAGAATATTCCAACTTTGCAGAAACAGCCAAAAGATGTTTTCTGGAGGTTCTCTGTCCATGTTCCAATGCATTGCGGTCGCGCCATTTTAAGTTGCTGCACACGTATGAACAATATTTGAGCGCGGGGATAGCTGGTGAGATATAAGTGTGTAGGATGGGCTATTGTAAGGAAAAAGGAACAAATATGAATCAAATGCTCGGTCTTTTCCTCGCAGTAACACGAGTTGCTTGTTCGCAGAAACCAAGTGGAATGGACAGCCCAGTCCAATGTTCCGTATTACACTTGGTCCTCAAGAATCAGGTTACCGTGAGACAAGTCGCACCTGAAAGACATTGCACAAAATTGGTCGGTCGAGAAAGATATTTTCCACTTTGAGCATCAGGTTTCAAAAGCGGAGTTCGATCATCTCATCGACAAATAAGTATGCGTGGAATTTGATTAAGTCGAAGACATCGTTGATATAAATCAATAACATTAGCGACCGAAGGGCACTTCCTTGTATCCCACACGGGTGGCAGATGTAGGCTCAGATTTATGTTCTTGAACTTGTAGCACCTGAGTTCGATTTGTATGAGCTGAACCAGGAAATTAGTGCTTATCCAATACCGTAGGGCATAATCTTATATAGTGGTTTTCCATGACGAACTCGATCAAAGGTTTTGCGTATTTCGAGGTAAATGAGACTTTCCGACATACCAAGATCATGTGAGGCAGTTAGATGGTTTGGGAGTTCCAGATTGTATGCTTAGAAGAACGGAGTATTCAAAAACCATGTTGAGCATATTTTTACTATCTTTCTTGGCAGCAAGTGCTTGACCATCCCAGCTGTGACAGCACTCATTCATCTGTGATAGAATAGATGTGTGACGTAGATTTTGTTCTGTTTTCCGAGCTAAACAGTTTTTTCGCAAACGTTTCATCATCAATCGAGGTGACTTCTTCAGTGTGTACTAAGCAAACAGTCGTTTTGTCGACGCTTACCGACGAGCGAGTGACATTGGAACTTGGCCGCTTCGATTCATATCCCCTGACCATTGCTCTTTCGCAGTTCGGGCGCCGCTTCTTTTCGACTCATGTGCCAAATGATCCACGTAAAGTCTTTCTTCGCAGCTGCCGGTATACCGGATCTAAGTTGATGCGCTGGTTTATTGAACTGTCTGTAGAGAACCACACTTCGAAGAATTCTCTCCCTTTTTGGTCTCTCCCGACGTTAGTATCTCCGTTTTCTCCTAATCAAACATGTGGTCTTCTTCATCAACGTGTGTCGTGACCAAGAACGATGGGTAATGGTTTTGACACCCTCGTTTGTGTTCTTGTAGTCTTGTGGATAATTTTCTTCCTGTTTGGCCCACATAGTTCTTATCACAATTTTTACACGGTATCCTGTAAATAACATTCCGGCGTTCATGTGCTCTCGTTTTCCCTTTGGGTCTAGACAGGGTTCTTTTCAGTGTGTTGGTGGGTATGTAAGCCAATAACAGATGGCTAGGCTTGAGGAGTCTAGCAGTCAATTCCGATACGTTATTGATGTATGGCAAAGCGATCCGTTTCGTTGTTGTTGGTTCAGGTGTGGTATTTGAACTTATGTGGTTTATGTATCATCGGATGAAACTGCGTGGATATCCGTTGCGCATGAAGAATGTAAACAAATGGTTTTCTGCTCTGCATTTTGCTTCTGCAGTATTACAATGTGATTCTATCCTGCGGAACTGGGTGTGTATACAACTGATTTTGTGACAATTCGGATGGTTGCTGTTGAAGTTTAAGATTTGATCTGTGTGCGCGTCTTTCCTGTGAATTGTTGTTTGTAGTTCGCCGTCCACTGTCCTAACAACCAACACATCCAAGAAAAGTAGTTCTCCATTTCTGCCTCCATAGTGAAGTGAATACCGTCCATTGCATAGTTCAGAAGGCTTTGTGCGGTCTGCAACTGGCTGCGCTAGAGTATGACAAACGTGTGGTAAACATAACTGATCCACAATATCGTTCAAGACCGGCAGTAGACTGTCTTCTAACGTTTGCATGACAACCACTGCAATGAGTCCAAATTTAGGTGATCGCATTGGAGCTCCCTTCACTTGTTCATAGAATGCGCCATCGAAGTTAAAGTAGCCCGTGAGACACAAGTCAAGAAGCTCACATCAAATATACCAATATAACAATTATTATAAACTACAATAATAAATCATTGTGATGCACACACTGAACTAGTATTCAGTTAAATCCAAGTTGCCACAACTGACCATCATTTCATCTCACGCAATGTTTACTCGATCGTTCTCCAACTTTTGTAAGCACGTCGGTTGGTAAGTTTTCACCCTCCTGGGAGGCATATAGCATTATTATTGAGCTACTCTCACTAGGTTGCTCAATGTTTAGAGCTCAGACAAATATTCTCCTGGTTCTCTAGGTTTGAAATGGGATGGCGTCCATTTCTGTAAAACTAAATCATCGCAACCTCCCCGTTGCCTTGCGAACAGGTTTTTGAGCCAAACAATTTGGATGAAGACCTTAACCATTCTCCTGCCTAGGGATGGGCGTCCTAGCAGTATTTCAACCCACATACAACTATGACAGTTTCCTCATGTGTTAACTTAATCCTGCATCGGCCGTCGCGCAGCTTATCAAGGGTCGCCTTATCTGCTGCATACAGCAGGGCGGATAAGCGAAAACATGCTACTGCTGGTGCCTCCCTTCTTTCTGTTCCACCTGTTTCTCTTACTCCCATCCTGACCCCATTATTAACCTTCCATCTATAATTCCCAGCTTAATTGACAGCAACCGAAGTGTCACTGGAGTAGAACCATCTGCATCCACCTCGCGACACCCACCGGACGCGTATCGGCAACAGTCCTTTATAAGGTCACGCTGTCCTGTTTCCCTGGCAGCGTTCAGGGTTCGCACTCTAAGATAAATAGTTCAACAGGCTGCACTCGCACGCATGTTGCACACACTTGGTATTGACGTGTGTTGTGTGTCCGAATCTACGATCAATGACGCTAATGGGGTTGTTGAATTAACTGTGCTCGGCTTGTACTCTTGTTGATGCGGCAACAACTACTCAAGCTGGAAGAAGCGTTGTACTCTGCTACATAACCGAGCCATCATCATTTGATTAAATTCCCGTGAGCAGCCGGCACCAACTGGGGTTGATTCACGAAGTAGTACAAGACGCTGTTTGTGGTTTTCGCCTACGATTCCACCGACTGCAGATCTGATGCTGCCAGGGATACATTATACCGCGAACTACCCATGGTACTGTGCAGTGCTACCAATTCAAATATCATAGTACCTGCAGGAAGTTTGAAAGTACAAGCAGGTCCTCTGCGCTCTTCTGATATTCAGCTAGGTGGTAATTATGATCTTTACAGGGTCTACGAATGGTCGACTCAGAACCTGCTTCAGTTCAATGCTAGGAAGTGTAAGGTGTTGAGCATGCGCCATAAAGCCACTTGCGAATACAGACTGGGGAATCAAATATTGCAGCGCACTTCAACGGAATGCGATCTAGGCGTGATAGTGCAGGAAGTTCTGGGCTGTTCCCGTCAGGCCGCGAAAGCCACCAAAAAGCTAACCAATACCTTGGCCTTTTGCGGAGGGCATTCGGGCGCTTTGATCCCTCCATCTTTACTCAGATTCTCAACGCCTACATTCGGCCTCATTCTGAGTACGCCATCCACATCTGGCAGCCATGGTAGAAGCAAGACCTTACCGCTCTTGAACTGCCACAACGAAGGGCGACTAAGAACGTAAAGTGC